GAATATAAAGATGCATCCATAATGATTTTTTAATTTAAAATATCCCTGGCTTTTTTTAATAAAAGTGAAGTTTACAACGTCATGCATCACACTACAACCAAGATGTGTTATTGTTCCTTGTATTATACTTAACCAAAACTATTCCTTCATTGAACGAAAGTGCCCCAACCAATAATACCAACATGACCCTCCTTCTTTCATCGTATCATCTTCATCTCACTCTCTCTTCACCGAAGATGCAGATCTCAACACGTGCTCATTTGCTTCTCTTCTTCTTCTTCTTCTTGAACTCTCTTGTTCACTCATCACCCTCTGTTCAAGGTCATATGACGTGACGTGTCAATGCATATGTTTAATTCTCGTCTTCTCAACCCTAAATTCCAAGCTCTCATTCATGTTTTGTGTTTCCACTATTTTAGATTTCCAGCCACTACCACCACCACCCACCTCTGGCGGTGATTACGATTACGAGCCTCACCTATCGCCACCGGCGCTTCCGCCTGTGCCTGCTGCTGCTGGTGATAGCGATCCTCTCTCCGGCGAGTCCGTTCCCACGTCGCCGGCGGTGATTGGGAAGCGGCATCATGGATCTCCAGAAGCTCCGGTGAAGGACAACGGCGGCGTGTGGTGGTGTTCGGTGAGGGAGGAAGTGGAGGAGTGTAGATTCTTTGTGAGTGTGATTAACCAACTAACGGGCTACTCATGGAAATGGTTAACTCTCACAAAAACTATATTCTCTTTACTTGTGGATTTAATTTTCTTGCTCACTACTGTTAAAAGGTTTTTAAATTGTGGACTAAAATTAAAATTCAAGTTATGTATTGTTTTTAAAGTAATTAGTATAAGACTTAACAAATTTCTTATATATATAGTAATCTCTAATTAGTTGGTTGATATTGTAAAAATTCTTTACGATACTTTAAATTATGTTTTCTTTTATTAACTAATAAATACAATATAATTAGAAAAGTATTTAGAGATAAGATTCCATTAGTTTACAATGTAGATTCTTTCGTGGTATGTAAAGAAATGAAAATAGTTTATGCTATACTATATATGTGTCCTTTTAAGTAAAGATTACAAATTATAAATTAAAAAATAGAATGAGAGAAAAAAAAAAGTTTTAAATTGTAAACGGTGTAATTAGATAAACATGTAGATTTTTACAAGTAAAATAATAAATTCATATAAAATTAAAATAAAAAATAATCAAAAACTATATATGGAAATGACGTTTGGAGCCACCAACTATCCTATATCTCGTTTTTATCTGGTCACCAAACATAAGATAGATCTTTTTGTGGTTATTTGTACACAGTCAGTCATAGAAGAAAAATACTAATATATAAGTAGTCAATAGAGCTTATTATTATGATACTTATTAATATATTATTATTAATATTGTTAAATGTGTGATATTTAAAAGAGTTGTAAGAGAATATTATTAACTTTTGTTATAAAAATTCTGAAGAGGCAAGACTTTTTAATCCTTATTCAGAAAGACATTATCAAAAATATTTTTTTCTACCGTAATTTTTCTCTAACTTATTTTCAAAGACTAGGTGTGTAACTAATCCAACCTGTAGTAAAAACAGTATCAAGTAAATTTTATATCTTACACGCGCTGATTTTGTGAATTTTATAAATGAATTTTTATTATTTCTTATTTTCATGATATTTTTAATTAATATTTCCATTTATTTGATTCGTAATTTTGACTATTTTATATTTCACTAGTGGATGTTTTATTATTAATATTTTTTATTTCTTTCTCTTTATTTCATTAGATAATATAATTTTTATTAACCAGTTTTAGATGGATACTTAAACAGTGTCAAAACATTGAGTATCTACCCATCACAGAACATAATAAACTTAGAAACCTTTTTTTCATAGTTTATACTTTAAAAGAAAAATAATTTTTGATCTTCACCTAGCAAAATTGACTGTTATGACAATTTTCCTTTTTAAAAATTTAGCTGATTTTTACTACAATTTTAGTTGCAAGTGCTTATTTTCTTCGATGGAAACTTGAAGTTGATGGGTACACTCAAAAAGACTTTTAGTTTGGTCCTACGTCGGATTCTAGCAAAGGATAATTGAAAAAGGAATGCACACCTTTCCAGTGATACGACTCTATTTCTTATATGTCCTCCTTAGTGGTCCAAGAGAAAAAGCCCAAGAGTGCATGGTTTCGATTCAGAAGGAGAAGCAATTTGGTGAACTTAGAAGCAGGGCTTGCTTATACTGCTTATCAACCACTCAATGAAAGCCATAGCCAGTGAATGTTCTGTGACCATTCAAAACCTATGACACGTAGTAGTAGTAACAGAAGGGCATGTGAGAGCAAAGCAAAGATCATTAATGGATTTCAAAGGCCACAAGTCTTGTCATGGGAGGTTACTCCACAGCAGTTGGATGGAACTACCCCATCAATTACATTAAAAATTTAATTAACAGTGCAGAACAAGATGGCAGGAAAATTGAACTAATTTTTTCTCTGCTATCTGTGCTCCATCAGAGGTTGAAGGTCTTGATATATGCAGTGCATGCAGCAAAGAGAATGAAACCTGCTCTGAAAGGGGTAAATACTCTGGTCATTCAGGAGCTTTTAGGTGCCTAGTAGAGGAATTGGGAGACATTGCTTTTGTCAAGAGTGATACTGTATTGCTCTATTCAATGGAGGGGCCTCATACCCAATTATGGTCAACAAAGTCTGTTAGGGACTTCATGTAAGTATCTTCCCATATGCATGTTTTACATTATACGTGACAGAGAAAATGTGTGTCAAAACATTCGATTGATTAACTGCTTTTTTATCGAATTGATTATCATAATTATTCTTATTTTTAATTAATTACTTGAAGTTTGACTTATCATGATGTGATGTGCACTTTATTTATGTGTTCAAAATATTGGTGATAATAAATATATAAATGGATATACATCTTTTTAAGAAATTAGATTCTAATTATAAGATTAGTTTATGAAGGTATGTATTAGTTCTTTCTTTCATGTTTGAGTGAGTATTATGTTTCTATAGTTAGTATGTTCGTTCTTATATGTGTTAACGTTTATATATAATTATCTTTATTTCTTTTAATTTCTCTACGTTTCCTCGTATGGTATAGTTTTGTGTCCACTAGACTATTTAGGTTTTAATATGTTTCCGGTAGTGAATTTATTGATTTTTGGTTCCCAATAAAATGGTATCTGAGATCTGAGCATGATATGGTTCACATTCATAAATTAAAATAAGTTTTTCCTTTTCGTTTGAGATTTTTGTTAATTTCCTAGACATAGTTAAAGAATATATCACTTTAGAGGAACTAAAGTCATGCCTTTTTATATGAGAAATATTCATATACCTTCACCACCATATGCATTTATTTATATGACTCATTGTATATATTAGCTCAAATTTTATCAAATTGGGATTAATTTGAATAAAATTAACAAAACTAACAAAAATTGGGACTAAATTGAATACAAAATACTGACACGTGGCACTAACATTGACACATGATATTGATACTGACTTGACATTTAACATTCATTATCTTGACACGTGGATAACTTTTTTAAATTAAGAAAAAAACTAAAAAAACTAATAAATAACATTTTTTTAAAATTTTAAAAAATCACAAAGTAACATGTCACCCATAATATTCATCTCTCCTTAGTTATTTAGATGACGTCATAAAAATGACCAAATTAAACATAAATTACGAAAATTAGAACCACATTAACCACTAAAAAAATTGAGTCTCACATTAAACAAAATAAAAAAAAAATGGTATTAAGTTTAATTTTAATATTTAAAAATACATATTGTATGAAGCATTTTATATTAATTTTATAACAAATAATCAATTTAAACCTTCAAATTGAATTTGAAATTTATAATAAATAATTTATATTGTAATACTGTTATTTGAAATCATGTTTCAAATAATAATAACTCTTAAAATTATTATACAAAATATCTTAAAAAAAGGTTATAAAACTTATAATAGCATTATACATTTGACTTTCTTATGATTTTAACTTAGGCTGAAATTAAACAATAAGAAGGAACTTTCTTTGGGAATGGAGATATGAGGATAACAATATAGCTTAGGTTAGGATATGTGTAAATCAAAGAAGGAAAGGAGTTGGACATAAGAGATATTAAAAACTTTAACAAAGCCTTTTAATTAAATGGAAATGGAGACTAGGTAAGGAGGATCATGGTGTATGGAGAGAGATACTTATTGTTGGAAGTTCCACATCGACTAGAGATAAAACCAATTTTTAGTTTATAAGTGGGTGCAAACTTCAGCCTAAAACTGATTTTGTGGAGTTGAGTTAGACGACTTGGTGACTGCTTCTAATTTTTCAGTGTCCATTGCCACTCCATTTGCTTACAATGTATGGCCCAAATAACATAATTGGTGAACCCCAAAAGTGCATTTTGAGAATTTAGTAAACAGCTGATTCATTTTTAAGATATTCAGAACTATCTCCAAGTGATGCAAATGGTCCTTCCAATTAGTGCTTTACACTAATGTCATAAAAAAAACTAACACAAATTTCCTCAAAAACCATTAAAAATCTGAATCATTGAGCACTGGAAGGTGGCTGGCGCATTTGATAAGCCAAATGGAATTACGAGCCATTCATACCACCCTTGATGGGTTCTAAAAGCAGTAACCCAATAATAAAACAATTTAGAATAGCCTCTTCATTCAATCCTTCAGACCTATTTGCCAACGAAGTGAATTTCATATAGTAGTCTGATACAGACCCAGTCTGTTGCAATTTGAACAATTTTGCCATTGGACAATCAAAAACTGTTCCATGAGTGTTGGAAGAGTTGAGCAACAGCTGATGTAAAGCAACTTTAATCTCCTCCATCGTCATTTCCTACACCTGATTTTTATCTTCCATTGTTTTTTGGAGTTTTTGCTGAACTGTATTAAGGGAATAGTCTTTTGATGAAGAGTAATTCTGGTGAAAAAAAAATCTGGAAGGGGAGTGCCAAGAGAGAAAAAGAGGTGTCACATGTAGAATCTCTATGAAGAGTTTAAATTGGGCCTGACTATATAAGTTTAAGGGTAACTTTCTTTAAACATCATAAAATAAAATTCTTAAATAACCTGTATTCATTTTCAAATGGACTTCCAGGAATGTACTTTTATATTTGGAAAAGTCCATTTCAGACTAAATAAAATATGTTCAACAATTTTATAATAGTAAAGAAAAGAAAAATGTAAGTTTTGATATCTGTTTTATTTTAAAGAAACTCGTATTAGTTCCAACTTTCTACACCTCGTAATTACTTTTCACATGTTTCATTTATTTTGGAGTAGACTTTCTCAAATGTATTTTCACATCCCAAAAAGTGTATTAATTCATAATTAATGAAAGATAGAAGAAAAAACAACAAAACGATAACCCTGTAATAAAGTAGTACAAAATATGGAAAATTGATTCAACATAAGAAATTATTCTCGAGGAGGAGAAATGTTTGTCTTTCAAATTTATCAGTTCCATTACTCAAACCTATTTTAATTACTTTTACCGTAAAATTTCTTCTACGATAAAACTATTCTCTTTAAAAATACTGGTGAAAACAGATGTATTATTCACTTTTTATTTTTTTTAAAATAACTTGAATTATTATTATATATTAGAATTAAAAGATTATAAAAGAAATGAGTTTCTTAAAATATAATTTAAATTATTATTTTCTGTTTATTTGATAAAAAAAATATAAAACAATAAAAATCGATTGAAAAACTTATAAAAAGAGTAACCATTTGTGTCATATATAGATAAAACAATTATATTTTAGAGTAATTTATAAAGGAACATATATATATTATAAATAATAAAAATTGGTGTTTTCTATAAAGTCTTTCTCCATGCATGTTAAATACTAAATTTCAACGCCATAATTAAAGAATCTAACTATAGCTGCTATTGTTGATAAAATGAGCAAGATTGAAAGTGAAATATTCCTTGTTATTTTTATTCAATACTTTAATTCCTTAAAAAAATTAAAGGTAAATATACGTTTTGTTTATATATTTATTATTATTATTTTGCACTAATACATTATTTTGAGACACGTATGATACATTATACTTAATTATTAATTTTTGGTAAATTATTATGCGAAAGAATTTCTAAAGGAGTAGTTAACATCCGTGTAGCAGGATACAGATACATAAGGACAGAAAAACCGACATATATGTATGAACGAGAATTTGGATGGAAAAGAAGAGGTATAAGATAAAGTTGGTTCAGACATTCTTACATACATATATGTGACGTTGTTCAGAGAGTTTGTTTTGGTCCTCAACACAACAATGATTGAAGAATGTGAAAGGAATATTATTACATTTACACTGTGAAGATAATATTATAGTGTGAGTTTTGTATGCAAGGTGTTTGATACAGATAATATGAATATCAATGCATTATCCACCAAAGTAGATGCATCATTGCAAGAAGAAACGTTAATGGCAGGCATTGGCCCCCCATTCGCAGACCACCATATGCCAATGCTACTTCCATGGATGATGGATGATGGATGATGCATCATGCATGACGCATGATGGATGATACATCATGCATGACGCATGATGGATGATGCCTCAGTCTATGTCCACCACACATCACTTTGTATACCAACAAACTCGTCTCTTTTCTCTCTGAACACTGCAATTGACTACACTCAACTCAATACAAATTCATCTCTCAAAACATTAAGTCATAGAGACAATTTTTTCTTACTCCTTTTTTATCATTATTATTAATATTATTATTATTTTTATTATTATTATTTATGAGGTCAACACTTTAATGTAAGGATAAACATGACCATATTTGTTTTACTCTTTCCTTCTCTCTCTTTTGTAATCTATGTATATATGCAATAGCAAATGAATATTTCTTTTAGTTAAATTTAAGTTCGTATTTCATAAATAGGCTAACGTTTTCACCTAAATTTTGTTGGAGAGGAAGAAGACTATAAGTTAAGATCTCTTATTCTCTTCCCTTCCTTAGTTACTTAATTTTCTAGTCATCAGGATTAAGGTTATGTTTTTTTATTTATTTTTTATTCTTCTTAAGTTGTATTATAGAAAATATGGTTTTCTATCTTTTAAACTCTCTTCTTGTTTTATCTGATTGGGGTAAGGAGTGTCATTTATTGTCATTTAAGTCCCAAATTGATTAATTAAAAGTAATAATTTAATAATAATTAATATATAAATATTATTTTTTTTTAAATTATTACTTAATTATTTATAAATTAATTTTTATTTTATTTAATAAAATAATTATTATTAATTTAATTTATATAATATTATTTAAATAATAAATAAAATACTCTATAAAAATCTATTAAACGGATGTGGCATTTCCGTTGAAGAATTTTTTCGTCAACAAATGTTAACATCGTTGAAGAAAAGAGGTGATGGTGTAGGATATTTTAAAATATAAAGGATAGTTTTGAAATTTAAAAAAAATGTAGTGGTGCAGGGAGCAAAGTGTGGTAGTGTAGAGAGTAACCCTCTCGTCGTTATGATTATGTCTCTTTTTTTTCCTGTGCTTGGGCCTCTCCACATTTGGGTGGAGTTTTGAATGAAATGAAAAAGTTTATAGTTGCTCCCACCACTCCAAAATCTTCTGTTTTTTTCTTTGACTTCTGTCATTACACAACTGCTTCTTACAACTTTCATTTTTTC